TGCAGGCGTTTACTGCCAATGACATCATGGCATTACGGTGACATGACAAACGAGATGTCACATTGTTGACAACCATTCACCATAACGAAATGCAAGACAGTGGTAAAGTTGATTGAGTGACTAATGAACGTATTCGAAAGCCAGTGACAGTGATTGATTATACACAAAACATGCGCTTTGTTGACAATTTTGACATGCAGATTAGCTTTGTTGATTGTGTTTGTAAGAGTTACAAGTGGTACATGAAACTTTTCTTCCATCTCTTGGACGTTTCAATGCTCAATGCATATAATATGTACCAAATGAAGACTGGCAACAGACCACCGTATGGTGAATTTTGTTTGTCTGTTGTCAGACAACTCATAATGAAGTACCAGGTAACAACACCTGCTATACAACAAGGTCTTTGAATTCCTGAGAATATACCCAAGCGTTTTGGGAGGGAAGGTGATCATTTCATAATACAGCTTCCTTCAACTAAGAAGAAATTTGCTCAGAAGAGATGCATTGTCTGTGCACAAACAAAACAACGGCAACAAAGACGCAAAGACACTCGGTTTATGTGCAAGGAATGTAAGGTACCTCTGTGCATGGTGCCTTGTTTTTGTATGTTTTTATGGTTATATTCTTGTTTTTTTGGTCTCATTTGATGGAAGATATAGTACAGAAATAGATATGATTTTGATTGTCCAATGTCCAACTGGCCAGTGTAGTAATGGGTTGACATTTATACAATTATTACAATAACGCAGTGGTCTGCATAACAGTAAATCTTCTATGATAAGAATACGTACGTATTGACTAAAAATAATAATAATTATAATAATAATAATAATATAATTAATAATTATAATAATGTGTATGTACGTACTATGTATAATTTAGTTTGAGCATGCCACCACAAGATGGTGGTGCATATCAAAACAAAGAGCAGCAGTCCACATGTGCTTATGGAGCTTACCACACGGGTGAAGGAATACTCCTGTTTTTCTTACGTTTCGTGCAGTTATTTCACGAAATTTCTTGTTTCTAACCATGGGTCCTAAGAAAGCAAGTCCACAGCAGAGTCCCGAAAAGAAAAAGAGGATGATTACCATGGATTTAAAGCAGGAAATCATTGATGAACATGGACAAGGTGCCAGGGTTAAGGATTTAGCCAGACAGTACCAGCGTACCACTTCTACAATATGTACAATACTAAAGCAGAAGGAGTCTATAAAGGCTATAGTGCCAGCAGAGGGCATTAAAATAATGTCTAAACACTGGACCTCTGTCAATGAAAAGACGGAGACACTGCTGTTGATGTGGTTGAGGGAGAAGGAGCTCGCCGGAGATACCGTGACTGAGGGTATCATCTGCGAGAAGGCACGAGGCATTTACGAGGCATCACAAATGTCGTTTAAAGCCAGTTGGGGATGGTTCGAAAAGTTTAAAAGGAGGACCAACATTCACTCTGTCATCAGGCATGGTGAGGGAGCGAGTTCTGATGTGAAGGCAGCTGAGAGTTTTATCAAAACTTTTGCAGAAGTGATAACAGCTGAAGAATACACCCCTCAGCAAGTCTTCAACTGTGATGAGACAGGGCTCTTCTGGAAGAAGATGCCAAGGAGGACTTACCTAACTGCAGAAGAGAAGAAGATGCCAGGCGACAAACCCACGAAGGACAGGTTAACCCTTGCACTGTGCACAAATGCAAGTGGCGACTGCAAGATCAAGCCGCTGCTGGCATATCATTCAGAAAACCCCCGAGCCTTTAAGTCGCATAAGATTCTCAAAGAAAAGCTGGACGTTATGTGGAGGGCAAACCCAAAGGCGTGGGTCACCAGGCAGTTCTTTGTGGAGTGGGTAAACCTGGTCTTTGGTCCTACCGTTAAGAAATATCTCCAGGAAAATAACCTACCCCTGCAAGCCCTTCTCATCCTGGACAGTGCACCTGCTCACCCACCGAACATCGCAGATAACATAATCGAAGAGTTCAAGTTTATAAAGGTTCTCTACCTTCCACCCAACACCACCCCTATCCTGCAGCCTATGGACCAGCAGGTGATTTCCAGTTTCAAGAAGCTCTTCACCAAGCACCTGTTCCGCTGCTGCTTTGATGTGACAGAGAACACAGATTTGACCCTTTGAGAGTTCTGGAAGGACCACTATAACATTGTGATATGCCTCAGAATTATAAATATGGCCTGGCAGGGTGTTACAAGGGGGACCTTGACCTCTGCTTGGAAGAAGCTGTGGCCTGAGGTTGTGTCCGAAAGGGACTTCGAAGGATTTGAACTCAAAGAGCCAGTGGTGGAGGAGATTGTGTCCCTTGGAAAGGTCATGGAACTGGAGGTGGATGAAGAAGATGTGAACGAACTTATCAAGGAGCACTCCGAGGAGCTGACGACGGAGTTAGATGAGCTACATAAGCAGCAGCATCAGGAGGTTTTGCAGGACATTCGTACCGTGGAGGAGGAAGATATGGAGGAGTATACCTCTGATACCTCTACAAGTGAGATAAAGGAAATGTTGGGAATCTGGGAGAGATTATCAGGCTTTATTGAAAGGAAATGCCCAGAGAAAGTTTCAAGTGGTCGTGCACTGGACCTATTTAATGACGCTTGCATGAGTCATTTCCAAAATATTCTGAAAGGGAGGAAGAAACAAACTCCTTGGACAGTTTTTTCTTGATATGCTCTGCAGATGAAAGTGTGACAAGCGTGGAGAAAAAACAAAAATCAGTGAATAGTGAAGTACGTATCATTAAAATAAAAATTGTAGCAGTTAAGTGACAAAGTGTATCATTAAAAGTGTAGAAATTAAGTGACACAGGATTAAGAGTTTATCACCCAGAGAAAGTTTCAAATGGTCGTGCATAAAATACTTATTACAAAGAAGGTCACTAGTATGCCTAGTGCATTGGACCTATTGAATGACAGCATACACCGATGTGCCCAGCATCTCTTCTCCATCTCCAAGGTAAATGCTGTATTACTACATAATTTCTTTACGTATTATTATTATTAATATTATTATTATTTCATTATTATTATTTTTTATTATTACTTTATTATTATTGTTTTTCTTATGAAACTATGTACGTAGTAATCTAAAGGAGTTTGTCTCGCACACTCCATTTTCTGTTATAATACAAGCATGGGAAGGTATGTCAGGAGGAGGAATGGCCACCGTGGTGGCCCTATAATACACAACAACAACAACAATGGCTACTGTGCCTCCGCCTCCACTAACACTACTCGCATACGTAATATTTCATTCATTCTAGTGTATATATCATGTTTTTATGTTATTAATATTGTTTATTATGTCATATTAGATGAACTGTGATAGATAAATAAGCCGTATAGATGATATTAGTGAAATATTGAAGTATCCTGAGAGCCGGGAACGGATTAATTGCATTTCAGTTAATTTAAATGAGGAAAATTGATTCTGCAAACGAGCAAATCCACTTGCCAGCAAGGTCATGGAATGGATTAAACTCGCAAGTAGAGGTTCCACTGTATTTTCACTTGTGTTGACTCTCCCACACCTATGTCCAGCAGTAGTCCACCATCAAACTGATTGTCAGGTTTTCTTGGGATCTCTTTCCCATGATTGCCTATGTTAGGTAAAAGGACATTGGTGCAAGTAGTGTGACATTTTGTTGTGGCAACTTTTCACTGTCCAGGAGCTTTGTCAAGCCATTACAGTTTGACAAAAGCTTCTGGAAAGTGAAACATTGCTACAATGAAATGTCACATTAGATGTACATTTGTTCTTTAACCTAACATAGTCTATAATTCTATCAATATTATTACGTGATAGCTATGTCTTGGCAAAATCGTTCACCGTGGGTTTCTATTTCATAAAATCTGTACGAGTTAGAGCAAAATTAAGTTCATATTTGAAATCAGCATTCAAAAATTAGTTAATTCACTTGTTTTTGAACATGGATTAAAATCACTGTTGACAAGTGTAATTAGAGAGAGGAAAATTTTGAGAGGAAGTATGGTTAATGAAAACAAATGAGTTATGTATGAATAATGTACACTGAGGGACATCATAGCTGTATTATGAGAGTTACCTCACATGAGAGGTAGAATGAATCAGTAAAAGATACCCGGGAGTGAGAGAGAGAGATGTACCTCACGTGAGAAATAGAGAGTCAGTAAAAGCTGGTAAAGTTAAAGGTTTTTTTTGAAGTGTGCGATCATGTATGGTTACGGTATTCAAAGTAAGTTTACCCCCAGACACTTTATAAACTTAAAAACATGCAGAGTTAACTTGTTAGTGAACATTGATCTTTGTTGGAAAGTCTAACACTTTCATTAAACATAATATGAAAAATAGTTTTGTTAGTTTCTCCTGATGCTTGTGCCATGTGTTGCATCTTCCTTGACATTTTGTTGATGGAGGGATAAATATTATAATAGAGTTGGACCCCAACTTATGAACATAATACAGTCCCAGTGGTTTCAATTTCCACACAAATTATATTTGAAACCTGGAACTTTTATCCTCTATTAAATAATAAAAAGAATAAGGTGGATGTGTGCTATTTATGTTCATAACTGCAGCTTGAGAGTTCTAAAGAAGTTATTTTCTCCATTTTATGTCTTTTATATTTTGTTTGTAGGTCATAAGTTGGACTGTCATAAGCTGGGGCTCTACTGTATATATCCTTCACACCTGGGGGATTTTGTGTTAAAGAATGTTTTCATTAATTTAATATCCCAAGTGTGGACATAAAAGTGGAACTTTACCTACTCACTTATTTTACAGTACAGTGTTTTTTAATTTATTTTTTAGACAATGTTAGAATACTTCTATTTAATTTCCTGTGTTATATCTGTTACAATGTTTATATTGCTCTGTCTGCATGTCTTGTTGATGTAAAGTATGCTTTAAGGAAATTTTCATGTATAATGGATTTTATTATAAGCAGTAATAGTATAGTAAACATTTAGTATCATGTCTAACCCTGTTTTGATTAATGAAGGCCCTCTTTCTTGCAGGGCAGCCAGCAGGTGGGGGATGTGGGGATGCTGGGTCCCGAGGAAACTCCCTTCATCCTCCATTACTAGCATCTCTGATGCGTCATCAGTCATCTGGGGAAAGTGCCACAGATACATCTACCACTATCAATCCTCAGTCATCCACAGATAGTGATAAACATCCATCCAGCCTTGACCCACAGTCATCTTATGACAGTGTCAGTGACTATCCAACATCTGATGCTGATGATGTGCCATGTAATGTCTATAACTTTTATCCCAGAGGATGGGCAGTTTCAGGAAATCAGATAATATCAGGACAACCACTATCAGTAAGGGGAGTCCTGACCCAACTGGAAGTAAAACATCAAAGAAAACCTTGCTCAATTGTTACCAACCCACTGGAGGATTTGTGGCATGAATCTGAGGATACTCAGAGAGCTCTCCGTGATAGCTGTGCAGACGAACAAAGTATTCTTTGTTTAAATGGATCTTCTCAGGGTCTTGAAGGAAGAAGCACCTTGCCAAGAGTCAAGAAAGTTGGAAAGGGCTGTGTTTACCCTTATAGATGTATTCAAGGCAGTGTACTTTGTAGAAGACTAGAACAAGCAGAGCCTGGAAGAAGAGAGAGAGAGATTGTAAAAGAAGCAGCTGAATATTATCAAAGAGCATTGAACAGTGCTCATGAACGAAAAGAATGGGCTAAGAAGAGTATTAGTTCAGCTAGTGATGAAGATACGCCTCTGAATGAATATTCTTTCTCGGGGATCCAAGATGAGGCAGTTGTAATTCACGAGCCTAAAAAAATACCCAGTCAGAATCAAAAGTGAAGCAGACTTGAGTAGAGCCACTAGTATCATCAAAGATAATCTTGCTAATATTGTTCAAAGATACCTTGTTAAATCAGGAAACTCTTCAGAGTGTCAGTACTTCTATCCCAAGATTCCTTCAGAAAATCCAAATCTCAAGTTATTATCTGCTACTGGTGAATCTCAGGACTTGGTAATCAGTTAAATGGGTTAAAAGGGTTGATAGATGCTCTGCCCCAGCTCAAGCAGTAGATGATGTCCACCATGTTGATATAACTGTTGATCTCTTAAGAAACTCCGACCAGTATGACCCCATAATTGTTATGGAAAATATACGACAGGTTGATCATAATTATGTAAGAACAAATGGTAGAACTGAAGAAAGGTTAGTTGAAGATAATCAAAATGTTGATAACACTCAGCCCTCTGATGAAAGTGATGTGGATCAACTTCAAATTTTACCTACATTAACTAATCAGTGCTCTACTAGAAGAACTGAACAGAATCCTGAAATATGGATAAGCAGTGAAAGAACAGCTAAAAATATATGTGCGGCAAAGTGTAAACAGCCAGTTAGGTCAACAGGGAGTCGTGAGAAGAAGTTGGTAAAGAGTGAAGAGATTGTTCCTCCGACCATGAAGCGAGAAAGTCGTATAGATATTCCTATTAACATTGAGGATGAACTAAAAAATGTAACACTCTTTGATCAGGAGGTTGCTAAAGTTAAGGCCTCTGTAATAGGACAAAGTCTTCAGAATATTACTCTAAGCATTACTGAAATGCCTGTTGAAGCTTCTGCTACTGGGAAGATTCACATTACAAATATAGCTAAAGGAAAGTCAGAAGATACACTAGGTTCACTTTCTACTGAAGATTCCTCTTGTGATAAAATACAGGACAAAACTGATGGCCAGTTCAAACTAAACATTGTTAAAGTTCCTGTTAAATGGGATGGAAAAGTTATAGATGGGGCAGAAACTGTGCAGAGGATTCAGAATGACATGGTTGTTCATGCAGCAGATACACCACTGAGTGAACAACATTCTAATGAGCCAATTGCAGGGCACCTAGAACATTCTAATGTACTAGATGCACAAAAGAATGGTGTTAGCAAAATTGTCACCACTGAAAAGATATTTTCAGACAGGCATGAAGATGGGGGTGTCATAGATGAAGGTCTGTATTTTGATACAGCTCCTGTGATGAAGGAAGTACAAATCAATAAATCAGCAGAGAGGAGTATACACAGAGAGCCAGCAGGGAAGACCACACTGATTCATGAAATATCTTTACTGAGTACACATAGTGATGAATCAGCAGGGAAGAGTATACACACTGATGAACAAGCAAGAAAAAGTATACATGATGAACCAGCAGGGGAGAATATACATATTGATGGGCTAAGAGGCAAGAGTATACACGTTGACAAGCGAGTAGGGGATAGTATGCATATTGATGAAATAGCAGAGGTGAGTATAAATATTGTTGAACCAGGAGGGAAGACAAAACATGTTGATAAACCAGCAAGGGATAGTATACACACTGATAAACCAGCAGGGGAGATTATACACATAGATAAACCAGCAGAGGAGATATAGATAAACCAGCAGAGGAGACTATACCCATTGATAAATCAGCAGGGGAAATCCTCAATGATGTAGATATAACATTTGATCATGTTGATACTCTTAATAATTCTGCCATTCTCCAAGGAAATGAAATTAATTCATCAACAGTGGCTGAACTTGCTTCCTCCGAAATATATAGAGAGTCTTCCAAGGTCTCTAATGAGAAATTTGCTGATATTCCCATTATTTTTGGCATGATGCTTAGCACTGATCACCCACAGGAGAGTGAAAAATGTGACACATCACTTCATTATGATAACCTAGGGACTAGTGATGTAGTCATTCTTGAAAGTACTGAGGTGGATGAGGAATCATCTGACACAAATGATGATACAATGAGATTAACACAAAGACCCAAGTGCTTGAAGGATATTCACAAACTTAACACCAAGTCAAGTACAGCCAGTGAGAGCTCATTCGAATCTTTGCCTTACAGGATGCTTACCTCTCAGCCAGAAAGTCTTACAGATGACATAGCTATAGAACTTACTCGAGCTCCCCCAGACTCTGAGAAATTGAAAGCTGCTAGACTGGAATTAATCAGACAGGAGCGCATCAATGCCATCTCACTTCATAGTATGTCCCTCATGGAGTCAAGGGATGATTTTAGATGCAAATCTGTCTCGCCAGAGGAAGAGTTTCGAAGGTGACAGCTCAGATATTTTTGGAGAGAGATCAAAATCAGATGGTGTATTAATAGATCCAGTGTTAGGAACAACCCATATGTATAACGAAGAAAGACAGCTTGACACACACAGCAACTCTATGTTTGATTCTGGTGTGGAGATAATGGTGCAAGAGCAAACAAACATTGTTGCATCATCGCTTGTCAAGTCATTTCCCAGCCCTGTTGAGTCGGTTCCTGAATCGGGTTTCTCGAGTCTTAAAGAGCCTTTGGCTCTTGAAGGCACAGTTGATGAGGGTGGGTTTGATGTTCATACTGGAGTTTCTCTTAGCAAATCAAAAGATAGTCTTGATCTCACTGATACTGATCGCTTCCTTGGGACTGATACCCTCTCGGATGATATGGAAACACTTTCTCTAAGTGCTGCAGATGTAACTCTTGTAGAAAGTGGGCCTGTTTCTACAGAGGGGTCAGCGAGAGGAAGTATTTCTGATTCTTTACATCCAGATAGCACCCTGTTAAAATATTATTCCAGTGAACCTTCCAGTTTAAATGTTAATTCTGTATCATTCCCAGTACCTTTGTAGAAACGTCTTCTAAGTATGTTTTCTGTGATGAGCATCATCAGCATTTATCAGTTTCTGATTTATCTCATATCAGTCATACACTGGATTCATTACCCCCAAAGAGTCTGTTAGAACAGTTTTATGAATCGCAAGAAGATGCACATACAAGCAAAGGAACAGATGAGGTATCACCATATATTCTAAAATCAAACCTTACAATGAGGTTGGATGAAAAATCAATTAAATGTCTCTCTAATGAAGGCAATGGATCAAAATTTCAAACAAGTGAATCTCTCTCCTCAGAAGAAACTGTAATATCAAAGAGGTCACTTGAAGATCAGATTTCTAAATTTCCTTCTCAAGAGTCACAGGAAGAGCCATCTGAGTTTTCAGAACCTCCAGCGAGACTTTCGAATAATGTTATAGAGAGTGAAATAAATAGAGAAAACGTTGTTGATATTACAGTTGAAACATATGCTAACATTACAGAGGCAGTTCATTCAGTGGCTGAAAATGAACTACAGAATATGGGGGCAGTTGATAAAATACAAGATTATCGTGATGCTTCAGCAGTAATCTCAGATGGTCATCATTTAGCTTGTCTACCAGACAAAGTATTAAACGAATTTGAAAAAGAAAAATATTTGAAGAAAGCTGATGATGAAATTAATGCAGTTAAGGAACCAGGCCCCGAGTTAAATGGGTCTTTTAGTGCAAGGGAAACTAATACAGAGGAGAATGTGAAAGTTGTAACTGACGTTGAATGTGAATTTACCAAGACTGATGAATTTATACAAGCTGGGCCTATCCAAAATAATACAGAACTTCACTTATCCATTGCAGATAAATTGAAATTGCTAAATAACTGTGAACCACTTGTTGGTTCAATAAGAGAAGAGTCACATACTTTACTTAAGAACTCAGATAATGTAATTAATGGAACTTTTTCCCTTCAATCTGTAAAGTCTAATGAGGCAGAGTTAAACTCCATAGAAGGATCAGTAGCTTTACCTCATAACAAAGAAGTCAAGGGTGGTGAGACAAGTTCTAATACTGATGTAATTGTGTCTGTGACATCAGACACTTCCAAAAAAAGTGATAGTGAAAAGTCAAGTCCCAATGCTAATGAAACATGTAGTACTGGTACTTCAGACAGGCCAAGCAGAAATTCTAGTAAAAGTGGAATTTCAGATCTTGAGGATGAAGTCTTCTTACCACCAAGAGAAAACTACATATTTGATGGTAGGCCTGTGATTTACTGTCCAAAAATTGATATGGCAAACCAGATTGGAATTTCTCCTCCTAAAGTAGCCATGAGTGTATTTGCAGTTGTTCCTTCAAAGGATACAAATATAGGTAAAGGAGCAGCATGGATTGCAGCTAATAAGGAGGAATTATCAAAATTTCATACCTATTCAGTGATGCCCAAATTGGCTAGTAATGTAAATACTGGAGAAGAAACAATAACTGACAAGTCAGTAACACAACCAAATGAGACTACATTTCAAGATGATTCTTCCAGTGTTAGAGAGGAAGAAGTGCAATTGACAGAAGAGGGCATGAAGCAGTATGAGGTATCTGTTGATATTCTTAACTTAATAAATGAAAAGAACAAACAGAGTTTATCATTAGAGTCTACACAACAAAGAGCTGGGGAGAGAGAACACTGTAATTTAATGCATTCCACACAAATCTCTCGTGTGAAAATCATGAATGAAAATAATGTTGCAAGCCCAGAAATTCGGACCGATCATCAGAATGTGGGTGATGCTGAAGTGCAGCAGAGAAAGAACGTGGTTGAAGGATGGTCTCAAAACTTGATACAGAGTGAGTTTGAGAGCTCTGATGCTAGATTGGCAATGCCTGTCACCACCTCTACACCTGCTGTGATGAAAGGAACAAAAAGAGAGGAAGACTATCATAGTAGCTTGGACAAAGTGGATAGTAATGAGTATAGATCTAGAAGAGACTTGCAGAAGGATGAATCAGAAGTAAAGCGAGAAGAAATTGCTTCCATTGACACTCACTCTGCACTTCAGACTGAAGAAGATGGCTCCTTAAGGTCTTGTGATAAAATTCATAAATATATAGTTTCATTATCAGAGAATAGAGAACTCTTTTCAAAATATGTAGCTGAATATTCAGATAAACTCTCACCAAAAGATATGGGGGAACATATCAAACCCAGGTTACTGCGTATGCCCAACCTGGAGAGAACTGACACTACTGCATCTCCTCCTCATCATATGTCTCTTAAAAGTAAAAGCTCTGATAACTCAGACAATACACCCCAAGAATCTCCTATAGTATCTCCTGCTATGAATTTTGACAAAAAGAAAGATACATTTTCGGTTCCAGGTTTGTCAGTGGACGCATATTCTTCATCAAGTCCCGTGTCTGTAGAGGCAACTGATGAAGAAAATTCAGTTATCGAGAATACATCGAATATAGAATTAACAAATACTATGAAGTTAGATGAGGAAACTAATGCTTGCCCAAAAGTTCCAGAACCTTGTGTTGAAAGTATACACTCGACTGGAGAATATACACCTCAAGATAGTGTATCTTCAGAGGAAAATGTAATAATATGTGGGAAAAGTCAGAAGGAAGAGTTAATGAAAGTGTTGACGGGTTCTGAACCAGAGTTAAAAAAATTTGGCAGTGAAGAATCATCATTGCTAACACTTGACAGCCATGGATCGTCAAGTTCTAAGGGCTACCTTGAGCCAGATCTAAGATCTATTAGCTCCAGCTGGGGTGCCAGTGGATCTTTAGAGTGCCTTGATAGGGACAAAAGTGAAAAAGGATCCCACACTCACAGGCATTGGTCAATAACCACTGCAAAATCTGAAGAGCTTGCCATGAAGTGTGATAAAGTGAGCCTAAAGTCACAAGGCTCCTTAGATAAGTTTCCACACTTTGATCAGGTGAGCTCCCAACAGAAAGCTCGTGGAGCACGCAAGAAAATCCAGTCTGTTGATATTGAACAAACTGAAAAAAAAGATTTGAACAAAGAGATGCACAGAAGTGTCACTCTTCCTGCAGGATCGATGGTACCAAGTAAAAAAGATGAAAAAAAGAAAGAAAAGGAAGAGAAAACCAAGAAAAAGAAAAAAGATAAGGAGGGAATAGGAAACAGTGAGAAAAAATCTGCTATGTTATCACTGAAGGGGTTATTGAAGAGAAATAAATCTAAAGAAAAAGAGAAGGAGAAAGAAAAAGATTCATCTCAAGAAAAATTGTCATCACCTTCTTTATTCAGAAAACTTGAGAGGAAGAATAAAAGCAATTCACTGTCCCCACGTCTTGATGAGAAGAGACACGGAGAGCAAGGTAATGTTGGTAATGCTTCTCGTAGAGATGTCGAAAATACCAAACACAGTCCTGTAGCAACTAATGGCAAAACACGTCCTGTAATTAGTGGTCCCCTTAGTATGCACCAAGTAGGTAATATGGCAGGCATGGGTGTAGCAACAACCATCTGTAGAGGCAGTGGTGGATTGACAGCTTCTGGATCTGATAGCGACAGTCCAATTGGGAGTCGTCAGTCTTCTCCTAAGCGTATCATTAGCCATCCCCGTATGGCTAGCCTTGGCACTCAGCCATCTCCAAGATTATATAAGCACGTCCTTACCCGACATCTTTCAAGCAGCTCAAGAGTCAATAGACAACCCTCTTCTGTCATCAACACACTCATCCCCACAGACATCTCCTCATACATCTCCTAAAAGAGTGGTTATCCCTGCATCAGCTTCTTCATACAGTCTTCCTGCCAGTAGAGATATGAGTCCTCCAGCCCCAGTCATGGGTACTCGAGCCCTCAGAGGATCCAGCAATAGTTTTTCAGTCACTATAGGATTTAAACCTAAAGTCGAAAAGAGAAATAGAACCATGAGTGAAGGTGCTGACCTTAATAAAGTTTCACTTTCTCCAGTGTCTAAAAGGAAGGAGGGTTCACGTATTTTGACACAACTCAATAAACGATCGTCTTCTATGGAAATTCTTGTGTGTGGTAAAATCAGGGAACATTGTTCACAGAATGGAAAGTCTCCAGGAGGAAGCCCATTCTCACGGGAGGGAAGTTTTCGCTTACACAGGGAGATCTCTGTAGAGACCTTGTTTGAACTTCCTGAGACAAGTCCCAGATCTAACAGGACTCAGGAGGAGTATCAGGAGTATCTAAATGAAATTCATGCTAGAAATGACTCTCAGCATGGGTCATCTTGGAGTTTAGTTGAAGATTCTGAAATGGAAAAGGTCTATGCAGATGCTGCTAATAGGCGAAGCTCTCACCATACTTCAGCTGGGAAAAAACTCAGTCTACCACACAACATGCATCTTTCAGGACTGTGCGAGACGGCATCATCAAATTCAAACCTTCAGCGCACTGGTTCACCATTTGTTAGAGGTGTCCCACACAGCTCCAGCTTCACTTCCAGCCCCTTCAGAAGACCTCATTCATCTGCAGCAGTATTTTCTCCAGCCAAACGTGTTATGTCTGCTCGCAGGTCTTATGCTTAGCTAATTATGTTACATGATGTTTGCCTGAATTTGTTTCATGCTGCAATATAAAAACAGTACTTATAGGTGCATACAATAAAAAGGCATTGTTACACTGATATTAAGTTATCAATTGCACTGTTAATTATACCATATTTTTAGAGATAGGAAACGTAATTATAGGAGTTCTTGCTCCATAACTAATTATAAAACAGTGACATAACGTAGATAGTTCTGTATACAGTGGCTTCACTACCTTAAAACCATACTGTACTGTACTTACATACGTACTGTACCTTACTGACTGTAACCATACTGTACTGTACCTACTGTACTGTACTGTACCTATAACTGAACTGTACTTACTGTACTGTACCAAATAGTTCTGTGATACCATACTGTACTGTACCTACTAAACGTACCTTACTGTACTGTACCTTACTGTACTGTACCTACTGTACGTACCTACTGTACTGTACCTTACTGTACTGTACCATACTGTACTGTACCATACTGTACTGTACCTTACTGTACTGTACCATACTGTACTGTACCATACTGTACTGTACTGTACCTTACTGTACTGTACCTTACTGTACTGTACCATACTGTACTGTACCATACTGTACTGTACCATACTGTACTGTACCTTACTGTACTGTACCATACTGTACTGTACTGTACCTTACTGTACTCTACCATACTGTACCATACTTTACTGTATGATATTGTACTTTAACTTACTGTACTGTACCATACTGTACCTTACTGTACTGTACCTTACTGTACTGTAACATACTGTACTGTACCATTCTGTACTGTACCATTCTGTACAGTACCATACTGTACTGTACCTTACTGTACTGTACCTTACTGTATTGTACCTTACTGTATTGTACCTTACTATACTGTACCTTACTGTACTGTACCTCACTGTACCATACTGTACTGTACAATACTGTACTATACCATACTGTACTCACCCATACTGTACTGTACCTTACTGTACTGTACCATACTGTACTGTACTGTACCTTGCTGTACTCACCCATGCTGTACTGTACCATACTGTACTCTACCATACTGTACTGTATTGTACTGTACTGTACCTTACTGTACTATACCTTACTGTACTGTACCATACTGTACTGTACTGTACCATACTGTACTCTCCCATACTATACTGTACAATACTGTACTGTACCTTACTGTACTGGACCATACTGTACTGTACCTTACTGTACTGTACCTTACTGTACTGTACCTTACTGTACTGTACCTTATTGTACTGTACCTTACTGTACTGTACCTTACTGTACTGTACCGTACTGTACTGTACCTTACTGTACTGTACCATACTGTACTGTACCTTACTGTACTGTACCATACTGTACTGTACCTTACTGTACTTTACCATACTGTACTGTACCATTACTGTACTTACCATACTGTACTGTACCTTACTGTACTTACCTACTGTACTGTACCATACTGTACTGTACCTTACTGTACTGTACCAACTGTACTGTACCTTACTGTACTGTACCTACTGTACTGTACCATACTGTACTGTACCTTACTGACTGTAACCTTACTGTACTGTACCTTACGACTGTACCTTACTGTACTGTACCTTACTGACTGTACCTTACTGTACTGTACCTACTGTACTGTACCATACTTACTGTACCTACTGTACTGTACCTTACTGTACCTGTACCATACTGTACTGTACCTACTGACTGTACTACTGTACTGTACCTTACTGTACTGTACCAACCTACTGTACCATACTGTACTGTACCTTACTGTACTGTACCTTACTGTACTGTACCTTACTGTACTGTACCTTACTGTACTGTACCTTACTGTACTGTACCATACTGTACTGTACCTTACTGTACTGTACCTTACTGTACTGTACCATACTGTACTGTACCATACTGTACTGTACCATACTGTACTCTCCCATACACAAATAACCCGCACATCAAAGAGAGAAGCTTACAACGACGTTTCGGTCCGACTTGGACCATTGACAAAGTCAGTGTGACTTTGTCAATGGTCCAAGTCGGACCGAAACGCCGTCGTAAGCTTCTCTCTTTTATGTGCGGGTTATTTGTGTATTGTTCCAGTCACGGTATTGTGCCTTTTTGTTATTTATGTACTCTCCCATGCTATACTGCACCATACTGTACTGTACCTTACTGTACTGTACCTACTGTACTGTACCTTACTGTACTGTACCTGACTGTACTGTACCTGACTGTACTGTACCTTACTGTACTGTACCATACTGTACTGTACCTTACTGTACTGTACCATACTGTACTGTACCATACTGTACTGTACCTTACTGTACTGTACCTTACTGTACTGTACCATACTGTACTGTACCTACTGCTACTGACCTACTGTACGTACCTTACTGTAACATTACCATACTGTACTGTACCTTACTGTACTGTACCATACTGTACTGTACCGTACTGTACCTTACTGTACTCTCCCATGCTATACTGCACCATACTGTACTGTACCTTACTGTACTGTACCTGACTGTACGTACCAGTACGTACCTACTGTCTGACCTTACTGTACTGTACCTTACTGTACTCTCCCATTGCTATACTGCACCATATACTGTACTGTACCTTACTGTACTGTACCATTACTTACTGTACCTTACTGTTATCTGTACCTTACTGTACTGTACCTTACTGTACTGTACCTTACTGTACTGTCCTTACTGTACTGTAACCTTACTGTACTGTACCTTACTGTACTGTACCTATACTGTACTCTACCCATACTATACTGTACCTACTGTACTGTACCTACTGTACTGTACCTACTGTACTGTACCTTACTGTACTGTACCTTACTGTACTGTACCTTACTGTACAGTACCTTACTGTACTGTTACCTTACTGTACTCTCCCATGTACTACTGCACCATACTGTACTGTACCTTACGTACTGTACCTTACTGTACTGTACCTTACTGTCTGTACCATACTGTACTGAACCTTACTGTACTAGTCCTTACGTGTACTGTACCTTACTGTACTGTACCTTACTGTACTTACCTTATGTACTTTACTACTGTACCTTACTTAAGTACTATACTGTACACATACTGTACTGTACCTCAGTATCATGTACCTTACGTACTGTCTTACTCTAACTGTACCTTACTGTACTGTACCTTACTTACTGTACCTTACTGTACTGTACCTACTGTATGTACCTATACTACACTGTACCTTACTACTGTACCTTACTGTACACTTACTGTACTGTACTTACATGTACCTTACTGTACTCTGTACCTTACTGTACTGTACCTTACTGTACTGTGCCTTACTGTACTGTACCTTACTGTAATGTACCTTACTGTAATGTACCTTACTGTACTGTACCTTACTCTAATGTACCTTACTCTAATGTACCTTACTCTAATGTACCTTACTGTACTGTACCTTACTCTAATGTACCTTACTGTACTGTACCTTACTCTAATGTACCTTACTGTACTGTACCTTACTGTAATGTACCTTACTGCACTGTACCTTACCATACTGTACCTTACTGTAATGTACTGTACCTTACTCTAATGTACCTTACTGTACCTTATTCTAATGTACCTTACTGTACTGTACCTTACTGTACTGTACCATTACTGTACTGTACCTTACTGTAATGTACCTTACTGTAATGTACCGTACTGTAATGTACCTTACTCTAATGTACCTTACTGTACCTTATTCTAATGTACCTTACTGTACTGTACCTTACTGTAATGTAATGTACCTTACTCTAATGTACCTTACTGTAATGTAATGTACCTTACTCTAATGTACCTTACTGTTCCTTACTGTACTGTACCTTGCTGTACTGTACCTTACTGTACTGTACCTTACTGTAATGTACTGTACCTTACTCTAATGTACCTTACTGTAATGTAATGTACCTTACTCTAATGTACCTTACTCTAATGTACCTTACTGTTCCTTACTGTACTGTACCTTACTGTACTGTACCTTACTGTTCCTTACTGTACTGTACCATACTGTACTGCACCTTACTGTACTGTACCATACTGTACTGCACCTTACTGTACTGTACCTTACTGTACTGTACCTTACTGTACTGTACCTTACTGTACTGTACCTTACTGTACTGCACCTTACTGTACTGTACCTTACTGTACTGTACCTTACTGTACTGTACCTTACTGTACTGTACCTTACTGTACTGTACCTTACTGTACTGTACCATACTGTACTGCACCTTACTGTACTGTACCTTACTGTACTGTACCTTACTGTACTGTACCATACTGTACTGTACCTTACTGTACTGTACCATACTGTACTGTACCTTACTGTACTGTACCATACTGTACTGTACCTTACTGTTCTGTACCATACTGTACTGTACCTTACTGTACTGTACCATACTGTACTGTTCCTTACTGTACTGTACCATACTGTACTGTACCTTACTGTACTGTACCATACTGTATTGTACCTTACTGTACTGTACCATACTGTACTGTTCCTTACTGTACTGTACCTTACTGTACTGTACCTTACTGTACTGTACCATACTGTACTGTACTCTACGATACTGTACTGTTCCTTACTATACTGTACCATACTGTACTGTACCTTACTGTACTGTACCATACTGTATTGTACCTTACTGTACTGTACCATACTGTACTGTTCCTTACTGTATTGTACCATTCTGTACTGTTCCTTACTGTACTGTACCATACTGTACTGTTCCTTACTGTACTGTACCATACTGTACCTTACTGTACTGTGCCTTTACTGTTCCTTACTGTACTGTACCATACTGTACTGTACCTTACTGTACTGTACCATACTGTACTGTACCTTACTGTACTGTACCATACTGTTATGTACCTTACTGTACTGTACCATACTGTACTGTTCCTTACTGTACTGTACCATACTGTACTGTACCTTACTGTACTGTA